CTCATGGCAGAGGGGTTGGAACTGGGTGACCCTTGTGGTCCCTTCCAACCCTGACAGATTCTGATCTGTTTTAGCAGAGGACTTTAGAGCCCTAATGGCTCAATGGTTGGACTTGATGATCTTGGAGGTCCCTTCCAACCTAAAGGATTCTATGATAACTGTGTCCAGGCTGATGCCCCTGGCACAGCCTTTCCCCAGACATGCCCCCAGACTGGGGTTCCCATGGCCCCCCACCTGATCTCCTCCTGCAGAGCTGCTTTGAAGAGCTGGAGCAGCAGGTAGGCCTCCCGGGGGTTGGAGGCGTAGTTGTAAAGCGTGAAGATCACCGACTCCATGAACTTGGTGGACTTGTTCTGGGGCATCTGGAAGATCAGCCTGGCCAAGTACACAGGCTGTGTCTGCAGGGATGAGGAACACCAAGCTAAACCCAAGTGCCACGGGGTGAGGGGGAGCCAGAGTCCCCACACTGCTGCCCCAGCACACATGGGCACAGCTCAGCCCCACCAGCCCCACCTGCAACAGGTAGAAGAGATGCTGGTAGGCCTCCAGCTTCTGTCTCTTCTCCTTGCTGAGGGACTTGAGCCCCTTCTGCTTGTCTATGGACATCATCTCGGAGAGCTGCTCCTTGTTCTTCTTGGTCAGCTTCTTGCAGTGGGAGACCACCTCCTGGCGCCACAGGGACAAGAGAGAAGCGTGGGTGAGTGCCAGCAAGCTCCAGCACCCAGCCCAGATTCTGGGGAAAGGGAGCCAGAGGCCCCTCAGCACTCCCCAACCCCTTCAACAGCACAGGAGAGAGGAGTCCAAGCTGGGATGCCAGGGAGAGGAGGGCCAGCACTGCAGCAGAGCCACAGGAGGTGCTGAGGTTCTCCCCCACGCTCCTCACCTGCAGCGTGATCCTGTTCTTGACCAGCAGCCCAATCTTGATGTCCATGAGGTCCAGGTCGCTCTCCAGCTGCCGGCTGGCTCGGATTCTCTTCACCACCTCCTCCTGCAGCCCCAGCACCTCCGACTCCTCCCAGAAGTCGTGCTGGCTCTGCTCCAGCAGGTGGATGAAGCGCCGGACGATGCTCAGCGGGGGGTTCTTGGCATGGACTGCAGCAGGGCATGGTGGCACCACCAACGTTTGTGGTAGAGCAAGCAGCCACCCCTACCCTGGACCCTGGGATCCCCAACATCTCACCAAGACACCCCATCCTCCTTCCACCAAGAGGTTCTTTTGGATCACCAGGACACAGGACAAAATGGTTGTCACAGGAGAAAGGATTGACCCTCTCTACTTGGCAGTGGGGAGGCTGCACCTCAAATCCTGGGGTTAGTTTTGGCCTCCTCCCTCCAAGAAGGGCATTGAGGGGCTGGAGAGTGTCCCGCG